TAGGCTCTGGCTAGTTTAGGACCTCTTTCTTTGTTGTATGGGATTTGATTAGTATATATATTAATGTTTAATTAATAGCCATGGTGTTTTTATTCATGAATGCCTGGATTTGATTTCTTTCAWATCAAATGATATTGATGTGATGTTAGTTATTTTGCATGTTTGGATGAAAATCATGGGCTATCTATATATGGGTGCCAATATGCTAGCTGCTTGAGGTGCTGGAGCTGCAACAACAATTGTATCAAATCCTCTATGGGTTGTCAAGACAAGGCTACAAGCAAGTTCTCTGGTGAAATTCTATATCATGTAAGTAAATTTCCTACATGTTATATAGTTATGATACAGAGAATGAAGTAGTCTCTGCCTTCTGTTGCTTTATTTTTAATTTTAGCAATGGCTCCAAATCGAAGCTTTGTAGAAAACACTCAATGGGTAATTTCTTGTTTCACTTGGAAGATTGCCTACACTTTGGATGCATAATTTGGTATATCTGTCTTGTTAGCATGATTGTTCGGCTTAATAAGATTCTGAATTTGGCTCTTTGTACTGTTATAATGGTTCGTATRATGTATCGCTTTCTCTGACCATGCCAAATAAAATTCACTTTGGGTGGAAKGTGCGCATGTGTATTGGTCTTGGTTTCATTCCTACGTGTTAAACAGGGAAAAGATATAGCTTTTGTATGTGTGTGTGTGTGTGCTGGCTTCTGTTGTATGTTTGGAAAAGAGGGTATGAGGTGGTTCTCTTGTGATTTAAAGCATATGAGTGAAAAAGGCTTGAAGCAAGGTGATACCAACATATATGCTTATGATTCCAACATTTTACGAACAACTAATATAGTTTGTCTTTTAGTAATTATAGGTGATACCACAGCTGATAAACTTGGTGATCGCGATGTTCTTCAAAAAGACTTGCATCTACATTGGGATATATATGATGTAAGCATGTTATCAATGTTCTGATGGTCCCAGGAAGTGCCGATCACATATTCAATTGGCGTAATGCATCACTCTTCATCTGTTATCAATTGAATGCTATTCTCTTTRAGCACCCCCAGAAGAAAAGGACTCTCTTGCTTTAATTTGCTTCATGAAATTGGATATTTATGGAGTTTTAACTGGCATGGTTCATGAATTTACTGTTAATATGATCCTGCTGTCATCAACTCATCATCATTATTGTTGATCTGTACTTGATCATGATATAAATGACAACAAAGATAATCTTTTGATCACTACTTGGTTGGTGATAGAACTGGAAACATAAGATTAATTGTCTATATTTATGCTGTTCTGAAAAATTTGTCATTATCTTATAAATGGGAAGGACTGTTTCTGGAACTTTGGGTGGTGTTATGAAATTTGTGATGAATGGTTTTCATAATCACAAAAGTAGTATTAACAGGTTGTTGGATGAAGGCTGCAATAACATGAGCACCTTTCTGAGAATTAAAAGAGGGATATATATACTCCAGGCAATATTCCTGGTTGCGCTACCAACCTGCGCATGCGCACTGAGATGATTATAACTCCATTTACTAGCTAGCTTTGAGATGATTCATAATGTCACGTGATTCCCATGCGATTGGCCTCATCTATCACACATTGGCAAGCAAGCCACTGTCATTTGGTGGTGTAGTTCCTTGATTAACGTATTATACTGGTTCTTGGTTGGTGACAAGACAACCCAATCTATGAAAATAGAAATGAGGTTGATATAATTATATTGGCAATCATATGTATTATAGTTGTTGTACTTCTGAATTAGGTAAACTAGAATAATATTGTTAGCCTATAGTGTTGAAGCTTTGGGCAGGACAGGAGCATTATTGAATGATGTGGATGGCATGCATGTATGGGTTGATGTAGTTGAAAGTAGAAACTATAGTAGTAAACACGGACTGCATCATGGACTGGACTGCACAAGGTTTAGGTACTGGACTGGACCATATCATATTCTTCACTTTCCTTTTAGATAAAGAAGTGGTTAGTTAAAGAAGAGAAAGGTTGGGTTTTGGCAAAAATGTGAAAAAGAAAAGAAAATGCAACACAGCAACAGCTTTAATTAATTGATTTGCACATGAAAGTTGATGATGAAGGAGAAAGAAAATAGAAAGAAGAATGATGATTGGATATTATGAATATAAGCCGGCGTGAGAGAGAGAAACATCATCATATCATATAATATAATTAGTTTAATCACAATATAATATAATATATATATATATATATATAAAACTTGTAACAATTCATCTGGACAGTGTGTACATATGTATACTGGTCATTGAATCTTTTTCTTAGTTTTTATGCACGTATGCATGTTTATGCACATATGCATAYCAGACAAATTGCTTAAAATTATGCATAGTGTTCAGATGAACGATTACTAGGGTGTTTCTCAGTTTTTAATTTCTTTACGATCTTCCCCGGAACGTGAACCTGTATGTATGTATATATATATATATATATATATATATATTGTAAAAAGAAAAGAAAAAGAAAAGAAAAGATAAAGAGGTGCATCTTGGTTTGCTTTCATGTTATATATATCATCATCTTTAATTGCCTTGGCCCCTCCCTCCCTCAACCATAATTAAGCCAAAACCACCCCACTTTTTGCACTTGCTTCTTTTCCACTTTATTTATCAACTATTTATATATGTATATGATTTTAGTTATATTATTAATTCCTGAAGAATTAGTTAATGATACAACTTAAGTTTTTGGTTAATTTTGGCCTAAAAAGTTGATAATCAAAAAGCAGGTGTTATTTRTTTATACATGGATATGGAAGTTTTACATTTATATTTGATTAGACCAAAAAACCTTAGGTTAGTGTTTCTTCAACTTCTTTTAGGAAAAAAATAATACTCTATTTGCAACTTTAAATATTTTAACCAATTAAGTGGATATGTATAATTGAAGAAGAAAAATGCAAGCAAGAAAGCAAAAACCTCATCAACAGTTTATTTTTCTTGGGTAGGTAGCTATATATATATATATATATATATATATATATATATGTATGTATGTATGTATCTCATATATGTTTGATATTAGTTAAAAACTAAAGAATGTATGCATGTAAAGGGTTTATGATAATTAAGTTAATTGATTATTAATTGGTGTTAGCTGATGAGAAAAGGGGTGGCCAACTCAGAAACGGAGGATTGGTATGATTATGGTAACAAGGATGGTTTCATCATCAATCATTCATTTTATTAGACTTTATTTTACATTTTTTTTTCATAGAATAAAATACCATTTGGTGGTTTTTTAAATCATGCTTAATTAGTTAGAAATCCCATCAATCTATCTATCTATATATATATATATATATCAAACAATTACAATTGGTATTGTGTTACAAAAGTAATTAGCATTCCATGTCCATGATGTTATGTTAACCAAAGATTTTAATTAGCCGGCTTCAATAATAAACATGTTGACCAAGTATTAATTGAGATTGAGATGATGTCATCATTTATTAGGTAGAAGGTGGATATATTTAATTAAACAAGGGTAAGGGTGGTTAATGTTATGGTGCCATCAGTCAGCAATACAAAACAACCAGACATATAAATGGGACAAATATATCCTTTCAAAACACCAACTCCAAGTGCTGCTGCTTCTAATTGCTTCAACAACCATTCCAATATTTATTACTTGCTTCAAAACCACATTATATATATATATATATATATATATATATATATATATCTTCCCACTCAAAACTCTTTACTAATTTAAAGCCAACAATATTTTGCAAAATAATCATCACATTGCTTTTAAGAATTGAATCCAAACAGATCACAAAGTTTATGAGTCTGAATCAAATACAACAATTCACTTGTAAAAGATCAATATTTGTTTACCTAACATACAAATTCTGACTATCTTTATAAGTTGTTTCAATTTTGGTTAAAACAGAAAATAACAAGACATTAGCAATAGCAGTAAAGGTTGAGAAATATAAGAAAAAGGTCAGAAATATATTTGATCAAAAAGCAGGAGGAGTAAATGAGAAGCAATGAAATTAGGCACCAACATGGGTTTACTTTTTGCCATTTCACATCATATCAATCAACAACCATTAAGCACCATATGTATTAGTATGTATGTATGTATGCATGCATGTACGTATGTATCTAAAACAATTTACAGAATCAAAATCTTTAACTAGAGTAGTAGGAGATGGATGGATGGATGGAAGTGGTGATTCCAACCTGGAGAAGGAAACACCGCATATTATACCAATTAATTCATTACTTAATTCTTCCACTCACTTTCTACAAAATCAAAATTAATATTTTTTTTATTTCTATACAAAACAAATATCCATCATCAAGTTAAATGTCTATTTCAATGAAAATACATATACATACACATGTAAATAATATTCGTTTAGAAATATTTGAAAAGAGGCATCATTTCAACTGTGTTTATTTTCTAGAAAACATACTGTATCATTACCCTGCTATTTTAGAAAGCATGCAGTAGTACATATTTTGGAAAATCTATGCCAAGAAAGAGCATCTAAAAGGAGAAAAGTTGATTAATATATGGAGATTAAAGCCAGTGAAGGAATAAATAATGGGTACGTAGAAGAGAAGATTGAAAGAGAAATTTTCATATATATATATATATATATATATATATATGCTTACATGGATTCCTGAAAGGGAGGACAGTGGGGGATACATCAAAATTAAAGCCAAAGAGATGACTAGTTTTAACAAGCTATGAAATCAATGGAAGAGTGATGGGTTTAATTTAAGTGAGTATCCAAAGTCAATAAATATTTACTAGTACAGTACTAGCTATAAAACCAAATAAAGCAAAGATGGCAAATGTTGTAGCTCTGTATTAGGGAGCAACCAAGTTCTTCTCTCTCTCTCTCTCCCCTTTTCATTATCTTCACTTGAAAACTTGAAGAGTCATCTGTAGCTGTTACAATTTTGATTTTCCACATATATAAACATTTATGCTTGGTCAGTCATGGCCAGGGAAAGTGCATTATCCTTCTCAGTAGCTTCAGTTGTGGAGGATGTTCTGAACCGATCTCAAGGTCTTGACTTGGACTCTCGTAGAGCCCAGGAGGCCGGTATGCTATGCTTTGTTTGCTTCTTTCTTTTACTCCCATATATCATTCTAACTTTCTTACTTTCTTTGATGTAACTAATTTCTATACTTATGAACCTGTAATATGTTGATGCATTGTTAATATGCTTGCCTTGGGATGAAACAWAGTAATTACTTTTTCTGGTTCAATTTGAACAGGCAAAATAGTAATTACTTTTTCTAGTAAATTGTGTATGTTGGATCTGATTTCATTTGGTCAAGTAATCAGTGTATTACATATGTTTGAAATTCTATGGAAATACAAGCTATGAATGACATCTTTGGTGTATAGCAATGAGAAGATATGAAGGTGCAGCCTGGCTGAGAAAAACGGTAGGAGTTGTTGGGGCAAAAGATTTSCCTGCAGAGCCTTCAGAGGAAGAATTTAGGCTTGGTTTGAGGAGTGGACTAATTCTCTGCAATGTGATTAATAAAGTTCATCCCGGAGCTGTGCCAAAGGTCAATTCTCCATCTTTAATCCATCTCTCCCCAAGATTCTTAAGTTGATTGTGGTTGTGATTGTATAATCTGCAGGTGGTTGAAAGTTCATGTGATTCTGCTGCTGTACCMGATGGGGCTGCTTTATCTGCATATCAGTACTTCGAGAATGTGAGGAACTTTCTTGTAGCTGTAGAACAAATGGGGCTCCCTACCTTTGAAGCATCTGACTTGGAACAAGTGGGTGATTAATTTTAACATATATGTGATTAATTTGCTAGATATACATAGAGAGTGATGTCTAGTTGTCTGTTGTTGGAATTATATTGATGTCAAATAAGATGTGGTGCATGTTCAAATTTTCAGGGAGGCAAATCTTCAAGAATTGTGAATTGTATTTTAGCACTTAAATCATACAGTGAGTGGAAACAAACAGGTGGCAATGGGACTTGGAAATTTGGGGGCACTTTAAAGCCCACCACACCTAGCAACAGCAAGCACATTGTTCGCAAAAACTCAGACCCATTCACAAATTCCTTGTCAAGGAGTATGTCCATGAAAGTTCAATCTCCRGAAACTGATGATAGCAGAACGGTTTGTTTTCTATCCATCTGCGTAACTAACTACTAGGACCTTTTCTTCTGATCATAATAAGTTAAATGGTCTATATATCTTGATACTTGCCATATTCTTGTATGCAGCATAATTCATCCTTAAGTACACTTGTTCGTGCAGTTTTGCTGGATAAAAAACCTGATGAGGTTCCCATTGTAAGTGTAACCTTCAACCTGTGGAAGTTTGTTTACCACATTTACTAATTTCAGAAATATTCTGTCTTTGGATTTTTCCTATCATTTCTTCTTCTGACCTATTGAGATTATTCATGAGGATACAATTGCAAATATCTCTCGAACATGATTTAATTTCTTATATGATGCAGAGTTTCTATATATGAAATTGGTCAAATGGATTCTTTCTTGTAGCATTTTCTTCATATTGCAGATGTCATACATAACTATGATCATCTTTCTTCTCTATTATACACTTATTGAGGCCTTTCTGCTTGTGCAGCTTCTAGAATCCTTGCTAAGTAAGGTCATGGAAGAGTTTGAATATCGTATTGCAAATCAAGTTGAACTGGTAATCTTGTTMATTACAACGTCATTTGCACAAATTCGCCTTACAAGTAAACGATAAACTTYCAAATTTGGTTATATTTTTGATTGATTGCTCTTGTTCAACAGCAGAAACCTGCTGCCAAGGATTCTCCTATTTATAGTGGAAACAGAACCCTTCTGAAACATACTTCTTTCAACATCAAAGTAACTTGTTGATTCTTGTTTTTGTTTCTTTCCAAGTAAACAGAGTTATGTATGCAAAGATCTTTTAATAAACATACTTCTTTCAACATCAAAGTAACTTGTTGATTCTTGTTTTTGTTTCTTTCCAAGTAAACAGAGTTATGTATGCAAAGATCTTTTAATAATTTTTTCTGCATAATTGAAGGTGGAAGACGAACATTCTGCAATGGTAATGGAAGACAAAAGCTCTCATAAAAACTCCATCTTTGATGAAGAAACAAGAAGAAAACACCTGAAACATCAAATGGCCTTTGATGGACAGCAAGAAGATATCAAGGTATGCTCCATTTTGATGTCCATTATTTTAAAATTGTGCTCCTTAAGTTGATCCATTTGGCTTTTCAGGAGTTGAAGCAAACTTTGTCAATCACCAAAGCTGGGATGCAGTTTATGCAAATGAAATTCCATGAAGAAATTCAGAATCTTGGTAGTCTTTAAGATAATCTTCCATTTGTTTTCAGATTCCATACTAATAAGTGCATCTTTCTCTCATTACTGATACCAGTTATATATTTTCCTTAATTTGTGGTGTTTGTGTGTGTAGGTCAGCACGTTCTTGGTCTAGCTCATGCTGCTTCAGGATACCATAGAGTTCTTGAGGAAAACCGGAAGCTATATAATCAAGTACAAGATCTTAAAGGTGACTACCAGTTTCCTCACAAAGTGTTTTCAAGTTCTAGTTTTTGTAAATAAACTTCTCACAACAATATATATATATATATAATAGGAAATATTAGAGTTTATTGCCGGGTGAGACCCTTCTTGGGAAGACAATCGAACTTCACAAATACCGTGGATTACATTGAGGAAGGAACGATTGCTATTAATACCCCACCAAAGTATGGAAAAGGACGTCGATCATTCAACTTCAACAAAGTTTTTGGGCCGTCAGCAACCCAGGGTTGGTGCTTGTGCTACAATTTTAGATGCTTGCTTTGATTGCTTGCTTCTGATTCTGATTATGTGTTATGCATTCATACATACAGGGGAAGTCTTTGAAGACACTCGACCCCTCATTCGTTCTGTTCTTGATGGTTACAATGTTTGTATCTTTGCTTATGGTCAAACTGGTTCTGGAAAAACACATACAATGGTAATAAGCTATTTCGACAGTTCAAGATAAAAAAAAAAGGTAGTAGAAATGTATTAATTAACAAACAAGTTGTTTGCTTCGTTTTCTTCATCCAGAGTGGACCAAAAGATCTTACGGAGAATAATCAAGGAGTTAATTACAGGGCGCTAAACGATTTGTTTGTGCTGGCAGAGCAGAGAAAGGGAACCCTYAAATATGATGTATCTGTTCAGATGATTGAGATATATAATGAGCAAGTGCGCGATCTCCTCACCACTGAGGGTTTAAGCAAAAGATATCCTTTTTCTTATAAAAAGTTTACAATTTTTWGCCAATAAGGAGCATAACTTAACTTATTCTTGAAATTTTCCTTAATCTCTTTTTTACATTAGAGATTCGAAACAATTCACAGAATGGATTCAATGTGCCGGATGCTAGCCTGGTCCATGTTTCATCAACATATGATGTTATTGATCTGATGAACCTAGGACAAAGAAATCGTGTTGTGGGAGCAACTGCTCTCAATGACCGTAGTAGTCGCTCTCACAGGTTTGATAATTCTTGTTAGAAACTTGTTGATAGATAGATATTTTCTATTAGTATGACTTTTAAATTTCCATAAATAAATGCAGCTGCTTGACTGTACATATCCACGGGAGGGACCTGACATCGGGAGCTGTTCTTCGTGGTTGTATGCATTTAGTTGATCTTGCAGGGAGTGAAAGGGTGGATAAATCTGAAGTGACTGGAGATAGATTAAAAGAGGCACAACATATCAATAAATCTCTATCAGCCTTAGGAGATGTCATTTCTTCTCTTGCCCAAAAGAATTCACATGTCCCTTACAGAAACAGCAAACTCACACAATTACTTCAAGATTCGCTTGGTAAAAAAAAAAAAGCAATCTTGAAAAGTATTCATTTGGTTTTGCTTCTAATTTTTTTTCTTTTATAACAATTAAAAGGTTTTGTGGATGTTGTACTATTTTAGGTGGGCAGGCAAAGACACTCATGTTTGTTCACATAAGCCCAGAGCTGGATGCTGTTGGCGAAACACTTAGTACACTTAAGTTTGCTGAGCGGGTAGCCACTGTTGAACTTGGTGCCGCACGAGTAAATAAAGACARTTCAGATGTGAAAGACCTAAAAGAACAGGTCCTCTATATCTGCCTTGAAAATTATACATCTTTCTTTTGTATTCAGGAAGTTGAATTAAAATTAATAAAGCCAGCTGCTCTCTCAGATTGCCAATCTAAAGGCAGCTTTAGCACGTAAAGAAGGGGAACATGAAGGCATGCCATCATCTCCTATCCCTCCTAACTTACAGGATGGAGATCTGTTTACTGAGCCAAAGGGTCGAAGGAAACCAACAGGAGATGCAGGCAACATTGAGGTAACTCCCAAGTTTGATCAACTATATTTGTGATGCACTCCAATACATTCCCATAGTGGTATACAGTAATAGAATTCTTGTTGGTGGTGGTGTGCTTTGAACCGGCTATCATTAGGAGATTATGTMATTCCTAAATGTTAAAAGAATGCCGAAAAAAAGGGTTGGATTTGTTTCATGTATTATTGTTAGGATCGTTAATCTGAAAGCGGGSAGTTTGTGTATGTTTATAGGTGAGCTGCAAAAAGTATGGGTTGAGGCAGAGGACACAAAGCTTTGATTTAGAYGAGTTGATAGGAAATTCACCCCCTTGGCCTCCAGTAAGTAGTCCTGGTGAGGATGATAGAGAAATCGGATGCGGTGACTGGATAGATAAGGTGATGGTAAACAAACAAGATGGAGGACGTTGGGAAGCAGAAAATTCTCCCTTTTACCAAAAATATCATCTCCCAGAGAGTAGGAGGTTACAGTCCGAAGAATCTTTTGGAAATGGATTTGAGGGTGCTACTAGCGATGATGTTGATGCTGTCACCAGTGACTCATCTGAGCCAGATCTACTGTGGCAATTCAGTCACTCCAAACTTGCAAGTTTGACCACCAAGGGGACGAAACTCAATAACTTGAATGCAAAGGCAACAGGGAGGCCAGAACGAAGGTATAAACGTATATTGCTAGCTAGTAACTTTGAATACRATATCATATTTTATGAATCTCAATAAAACAGTTGGCTTACACTTACAGCAGCAGGACAATGATTTCAAATGTTGGGCCTTCGGGTTCACGAAGAATAACAACACAGGGAGGCGGGAGGCAAGTTGAAGTTAAAAAGAAAACTGGGAACAGGAAGTAGTATTTTTTTTTTTTCATTTTCTTTTTCTTTTTCTATATATAGAGAGAGAGTGAGAGTAAGAGTGAGAGTGAGAGTGAGAGTGAGAGTGATGAGAGGGTGGGTTTACAATTACATACATCTTTTTTTGGTTTTTGTTAATATTTGAATTAATTGGTTTATATACAATATAATACGTAAATGCCACAGCAGTTTGCATCTTAATTATCCAACACTTGAATGCATAACATTTTCATAGCTTTTTATCATTTAAACGTTTTATAAATTGGAGTAAAAAGGTTGGAGTTCTCTAAACCATCAAAGTCAACAGTCAAAAAGGAGATGGGTGACACTTCTTGACCAGAGAAACCATGATCGGTCTCAAGGAGGTGGAAGGCATGAATAGTGATCGGTCTAGAATGGATTTTGTATACTCTATATATTATAAACAACCCCCCCCATATACCTCCCACCACCAAAAACAAAAACACACATATATATATATATGTGTGTGTTTTTGTTTGGGGAGGGGGTGTTTATAATATATAGAATATATATATATATATATATATATATATATATATATATATAGGTGGAGGTTCAAACGAGAACCCCTGTGATTTACGAAAATGCGAGAACAATCTAATAACCTCAAACTTTTTTAATTAATAAATTAACTTATATTAAATATAAATAAATTAATAAGGGCAGTAATGTAATTAAT